ACAGCCCACTTCTTCGGATGCATATGCGAAGTGGGCTGTAGTCCACGAAAGCTTATGCTCTAATAAATTTGTTAGTCTCTAAGGTGCCACAAGTACTTAAAATTGAAATCATCAAAGGCTCTGATCCTCACAAGCACCATTCCTTACAGGCCAAGCCCTTGTTAGGTTTAAAAACAAAAGGCATTTGAGTTCTGTGTATAAAGAACATGTATGAAGTCTCATCTGAAGTCCTCCCCACTCCACATACTAAAACAAAATTTACATCTAAGATAAGAACAAGATTTCAGCTCCAAGACAGACAGCTTATAATGGAAGTGACTTTTCAACTATAACCTTACCACTAGAGTGACAAAACAGATAATTTATATCAATTGCAGATTTTTTTACAGTCATTTCCATAATGATTTGCATTTTAGAGTTCCAACAAAAGTTCACTCGCATCCTTTAGGTGAGCAGAAACTATCAATATATTACACAGCTGGATATGCCTTACTCTATACAGAGAGGTGCTATTAAAAACATTACACACATGTAGCTCTGTATATATAAACATGCATACATAGTATACAAATATTGACAAGTCTCTTAGTTACATAGAGACAGACACATTTAAGTTAATCTTTCCAGTGGTTGAACATTACAGGTACATCTAAAATATGCCTTCAAGCTAAAAGGAACAGAGTGAATTTAAAGTAGATAGATTTACTATATTTTATACAACATCCTAATCAAGATTATGATAATCACATCTTTCATTACTCAGAACACTCTCCAATGAACTGAAGAATATTTAATTGGTTTAACAAACTGTTTATGCATGCTGCCTAGGAAAAAAACAACAACCGAATAGTCAATCCACATGCTCAGGAACGTGTCATTTTGAACAGACCTTTTCGACGTTTCAGGAAGAGCACACATTGAGGTGGCCATTTCAAATGTACTTGAAATTAATTTCTTCATTTAAAATGACCGAAACAATAACTCTAGAATCCAATATCAAAGTAAAAGCAGTATATAAAAGTATTTTTTTTTTAAGGTTTTAGCTAAAGGAGTAAATGATAAGAGGAAAAACTTTCTGTTCTACAGCAAAATTTACCAAATAGCAACGAGAGCTTTTAAAACTTTTAGGCTTCTTCCCTGCTCCACCTGAAGTTTAGACAAATATACACACAGTTTTGTAGTACAAAGTCTGCAAAACTTTCATTAAATCAAAGCAAGAAACCTGCAGACCATGTTCATTAGCTACTTTACACTTTTTTTTAGAATTTCACTTTCAAATATCTTTATGAATGTTTACTTTAAAGAAAATAATGATATACCTGCAATGATGTGCACGTTCTGGTTTGATACTACAGCATTTTGGACATTTGTAGATCACTTCCCCTGGTTTCAGCTGCAAACTCTCCATGTATTCTTTAGTGGCATTTCCTTTTGGTACAGCCCCCTAAATATTTAAAACAGAGTGAGAGAAGAAATCATCTTAAATTAGGAAAGATAACACTTTTTAAAATCACTTTTTAACAGCAGATTTGAACAGGTTTGACTATTCAACATTAATACCGAGTGTATTAAATATAAAATGTTTTTCACACTAAGCCCATTTTAGTACAGACATTATTTTCCTCTTATAGGAACCTGCACTCAGCAAAATTTCCTAAATCAGTTTGATCAAAACAGGCCTAGCATAAGGCTGAACGTCATCCAGAGAAACCACAACCCATTAGTCCCAGTTCAGTTTCAACTGAACTACCACAAACTTGGATAGAATCCATGATCTTTACCTACAAATGTCAAAACTGCAGTCAGAAGCTTTGCTTAGGGTTGAAAAGATTTGTTGTAAGTGAGCAAATCAGGAAAGGGACATGCCTCCTTTTACGTATATATAGTAGGTTAACTATTCTGAGGCCCAAAAGCTAGGGCAATCAGCTATTGACGTTACTAAGAGGCCCAGAGTGAACCAAGAACAGTTTGAAAGCTTTTACTTTGGATTGTTTTGCCTTTAAGGGTTTAGTCAAACTGCTAGAATGAAATCAAAAGGATTTATATGAAGGAAGTGTGGAGTGTGTGACAAGAGCAAAGGTGTTACATGGTAAAAATTCACTCAGGCTCCCCCCCCAACCCGTTTTCTAAAAATGGGGAATGTGCTGCTTGTTTTTTCTACACTCAGAACACACTAATGAAAGGCTGATTTTCTGGGTGATGATGGAGAAGTATCAGGAAAAGAGTAGTTGTATTTGGAGCCTGTTATTGTCAGTCTTTGCAATGTTTGTGATGCGATTCTCATTTACACAATCGAGTAAAAAGACCAGGTTACTTAAATGATTTAATTGCCTGGAGAGAAAACCGAGCTTTGCCAGATCTTAACACAGGAATGGGTATTTCCCTCCTGTTCAGTAGGAGGGAATTTCCACTGAAGCAGAATGTTTTGTCAACCTATGTCCACACCCCAATGTTTCACATTCTATGGCTTCTCTTCACTACAGTATTAACTCAAGGTATAACTTAGGGCTTGCCTTCACTACTGGGGTAAGTTGACCTACATTACGCTACTCTAGCTACGTGAATAACGTAGCTTAGGTCTACTTACCCCGGTGTCTTCACTGTGCTGCATCGATGGGAGGCACTCTCCGGTCGACTTACCTTACTCTTCTCAGAGAGGTGGTGTACCGGGGTCAACTGGAGAGTGCTCTGCCATCGATTTAGTGGGTCTTCACTAGATCCACTAAATTGACCTCTGCTGCATTGATTGCAGCAGCACTGATCTCCCAAACTCCCCACAGTGAAGACTAGCCCTTAGTGTTGCTCCTAACCAGACTCCTGTTACATACAAAAAGCTCTAGCTCAAGTTAAGTGATTCTGTACACTTGAGCTAACTGGCCCATCAGGGGGCATGTTGATGCTGGAGCTAGTAATGCTGAGCAGACTCCACAACTCTCTGCTGCTCAAACATCGTTTACGAGTGTGACCATTCTCAGTCAAGTTAGGCAAAATGGAATTAACACTACACTGAAGACAAAACCTAAGAGATGATTTAGTTAGTTCTAGAGGGATTAAAATTTGTGAAAAAAAAGAAAAAAACCCTTCCACCTCTTTTCCACTAATTTCATTCATTCATAAGCGTAACTATCAAAGTGTTCTTGATCTCACGTCTTTGCCATTTTGCTGAATTAACAAGTAATCACAAATAAAGACAATAATACTTGATTCCAGTTACAAACATTGGAAAGATGATGACTTTTATAATCTCAAAACTGTAGCCCGTTTACTTTTGATGAAATTCTCATGGTTATAAGATCATAAAATCTATTTGTCTTCAAATGTAATGTTATACTTCTTATGAATTTTGAGAGACACTTTATTCTAATTTTCCTTTACTCTTATTTAACAGTCAACAGTTTCTACTACACAGTCTTTTTTTTTTTTTTTGGTAATATGGGAAGTACATTAAGTGAAACAGATTAAGACATACTTTGTCTATAAACAATATCTTGGGTCTCAAGATCTTAGGTATTTTTAATAATCGGTGCTTAACACACCCATAAACACACTAACTGGTTCTTCAAGAAGGCCTTGTTTAATGCATTGGCTTCAAGAAAGAATCTTTCATCACTGGGTGTGGGCTCAGAACTACTCAGGCACTAGCACCCTTTACTGAATTGCCAAAATCACTTCTTGGAGCACCATAGGTGTGTCTCTCCACCCCCCGCACCTCAATAAAAACTCTTTTTTTGTATATGAACTCTAACAAATCCAGTCCAATCAGTTTATAGTTTACAATACCAATTCAAAATTTTAGTTTTATGTAGACTGGGCTTGCTTACTAACAGAACTTTGGAAATTAAGTGTGTTTTAAAACTGAGCAGTGAATACTTGCTATAATGAATGATAAAAAGCTGCAAAGACCTGAACTGGTGAGGAGCATTATAATCTCAATTTAAACACGTCAAAGTCCACTCATTCACCATGCTCCAGTAGTTAAGCAGTAAGATTTCCCATGACACTGCAAATCCCACAGGCTTCAGTATAGAGCTGAGACACCACCAAATTCACCGTTTAGATGTCAGTGTCAAGGCTTTTATAGCAAGATACTCACTACTATTTCTAAGGATGACATTTTATACTAAACACTATCTTGCCACCAGTTCCACCATACAAGAGTTAACCCAGAAATTGAAGAATATAATTTTAGACAACTAGTTATAAGCACAACTGCTACTGAACTGGAAATAGGTACATTGTTATAGCAATAGTTGAAAATACACCATTTAGGCTGCCATAAAGCTATTACTAGGCATGTTGACAGAAATGTATTCTAAAATGTATTCGCATATGTTAATTCAAATTTTGTGCGGCAGTAAAACTGTGGCAATTTGTAATTTTTACCTTGCAGAACCATTTTCGGTAGCAAGGAACAGACTTATTTACCATTAATCCCACTTAACTACATCAAAAACCATTTTAAGATTGTGAAGATGTAACTGCTTAATTTAGTTTTCATAGCAAGATTTCCAAAGTAATTTTAGATTTTTGTATGTACGCTGTATACAAACTATATATTTTAAAGTTGTAAGCAGTCATTCTGTGATGAAAGCTTTTAGTTTAACTGAATTATACTTTTTACAGGAAGTGATAGCTAATTTTTCCAAATGTTTGTTTCCTATTGAAAACTAGGTAAAACTACATTGAGACTTATAAGAACATTAATAATTTAATTTTTCTGCTAATCTCATTAACTTATTCAATAACATAAAAATATTCATAACATTTTAACCTTAGATTTATTGAGAGAAAAATATCCATAATGTCAAGTGAGCCCTGGTCCTAAGTCTCCCCTCTACATTGATCAACTTACTCCAAATTTTAACTATCAGGTCAACAAACTCTGGTAAATGTTATTGCCTATCAGTTTATATCAACAAGTCTTAGGGAGGAGTCAGATTTTCAAGAGTGGCATAGATACTTTTGAAAACCTTTAACTTTTTCTATTCATTAAAAGCAGAAGATTTTCTTACCACATCACCTGGAATCAAATAACTTTGATAAAGTTATCTAGATTTGATAATATAACTATGAAACAAACAAAGTTACAAAACCAAAGAGGCATTTTAATGATCTTCTATAATGGACTTGAATAGTAAATATTTAACAAGTGACCCTACACTTCCCATGTGTCTTCCTTTCCCTTGCAGTTTTCAACGGTTTCTGCTCTGTTTTTCACTCAGCTCAAGACTAGTTTATGATACCATAAAAGAACAAAAGGCTGGAGATTGAGACCAACCTCTGCTTCAATCAGTTTCAAGATTTGCAACCAAAAGAATTATCCTAGCAGCAGGAGATTGAGTTCTCTTTTATAGATAGGTATGATCTATAAAAGAGAACTCAGAGTTGCTTACTTTATTT